GGGGAGGAGGGGAAGTGTTGGGTTCAAATTGTCATGAACTCGACTTCAATGACAGTTGCGCTAGCTTAGCGGACTCGTTGCCTTGCTATGGTTACGCCGGGCTAATGCAATGTTGGGCCCCTGGGTGCCAAGGGCCCAAGGCCCACATATGAGGAGAGACCGACCTGGAAACGATTCTGGCATGCTCTCCTCCTACTCCTACTCCTACTCAAAAATCCTCTGTTTATCCTCAGATCATACGCTAACCACAAACCCCTTCCCCTCTCCTGATCACCTCTTCCTCCTCCTCTTCCTCCTCCTCCTCCACCAAATATCTAATATCTTTCTTTTTCCCATTCTTATTCTTTTTTATTGTTGTCGTTTTCTTTATTTCTTTCTTTCTTTTTTCTTTTATTTTGTCTTTTTTGTCTTAAAAAAAAAAAGAAGGTCCAGGGTGTAGTAGAGGGTGGTGGCCAGGCCTCAGGAGGTGCCCATAGTACTCATCCACCGGGAGGTCAGATGGATTGCGAGGACCCAGGGGAAGTCACCTCAGGATGGCACCATGATGGTACCATGACCTATGCTAATGCTCATCAGATCGCAAGTCGTGATCTGCGCCAACGCTTACCAGACTAACCCGGACGTCTTTGTGCGGACACTACCCTCCCATAACTCTAATGTTAAGGACGACCCGGGCACAGGTGGGGTCCATGCATATGCAGTCATCCCCCATCTGTGCCTCATCCCGCAGACTCTATGGGCAGCGAACTTCCCTTCCACTAAGATGCGAACGATATCCCGCCCTCCCCTGTCCTAAGCATGATGCCTTCCTAATCCAGGGTCCCCAAGAATCCACAGTCCCAACTAATTCCCCCAATGAGAACTCCCATGGACCCGAACCAGGATGAAGCACCACCCACAGGCATCATGAGATACCTGTGGGGTGATGCCTACCCCATACTAACACCCAGTGTGTGCGTAGGAATATTCCCCCCGAGATGGGCCCTACCTTAGTCCAAGTTCGCTCTGTGTGGACTCTCGTACGGGTGCCATAGTGACGGGAAACATGCTAGCTGCACCCAGGCTCGATTATGGTACCCCCACGGACTAGTACATACTGGTGAGGCTTGACAGATCAGAGGGTCCAAGTGGCCACGCAGAGGTATCGACGGTTTCGACAGTTTTGCCAGTTCTGTTGTTATCGACAGTCTAGGCAGTTTTCAGTTATCGACAGCCTACGCAGTAAAGTTGAGTAAGCACTCCCCCTTTAATCTACCCTAACCTATCCCTCCCCCCTCCCCCCCCTTCCCCGGCCCATCGTGGAGCCAAGATAAGACCCTGATCCTCAGACCCCTTAAGACCAAGCACTCAAGCAGCCCTCTCTATAACCCCTATCCAGCATACTACAACCATGGACCTAGACCCCTTGGACGGTGCACAGGAAGTGTCTGTATAAATCTCACCATGCGTCGTCCCAAGGAGGTTGTGTGAATGGCTTGTGTGTTATGAAAGCGCTTACCGGTGTACGTCCGCGAGGCAACGGAGTTTTGAACCCGCAACCTCATTCATACCAGAATGGCACACTGCGCGTTTCCCACCGGTGCTCTAAACATTGAGCCAACGGTCATTCACTTATTGTTGTCTTTTCCAATTTTTTCTCCTTCCTTCTTTTTTTTTTTTTTTTTTGTAAACGGAACTCTTTTTCTCCTTTTATAATTTCAATTTTTGAAATGGCACTTTTTTCTCCGTTATGTTTTCTTGGGTATCATTATCATTGAAATAAGTCTTATTTTGGAGCTTATAATTCGGACAACGGTGAACAATAGCTGCTAATACTGTGTCTTCTCCTTGTGTAAAAGCATAATCTAATCCATTAGCCCTAGCTACAACAATTGGTATCCCAATTTCTGCTTCTAATTTAGGTGCCATTCCTTCAAGATCCATTTTAATGATTTCGGTTGTGCAAGAAGAGGAGAGAATGAAAAACAACGAGAAGATTCAGAAAAGACGACGATGACGACGACAACGAAGGGAAAAATTTCTAAAAAAGGACGTAACAATCAAGGCATCATTACTAGCCGACATAGGGGTGGTGGACATAAACGATTATACAGAAAAATCGATTTTCGAAGAAAAAAAATTTGAACCACAACACCACATTGCATGAACTCTTTCATTTTCTGTTCACCTATCTCCTCCTCTTCTGCCTCCTCCTCCTCCTTCCCTTTCTTTTGCTGTCGAAGAAGGTGATGCTTGTACAGATAAGAATCGTATGACGACAAGGATCGTGATGACAATGACAATGACCATGACAATGGCAAATGGGTCGTCAACATTGTTGCTGATAGTGCCCAGTCTTCTCTTCTTCTCGTCTTCGCGTCTTCTTTTCCTCTCTTCTTTTCTTTTCTTCTCCTCATCTTCTCCGCTTCTTCTCTTCTTCTCTTCTTCGCTGCTTCTGTTCTTCTCGTCTTCTCAGACTGTATTGTCGTGCAGTCTTCGTTCTTCTCTTCATCTCCACTATTCTCAACATTCAATCGACAAAGCTCTCTTGTCTTCAATGAGTATATACTATCGTATACATGTTTGAGGCTTACACGAAAGTGGAGCAAAAAAAAAGTTAAAAACTTGAAAGTAACTGTTTTTGCTGCTGTTTCAAATTCAAATCCTACCAAGGATTTTCCTGCTCCTCTTCCAAATACACAAGGGCACTGACTCAAGAGAAAAAAGAAAAAGAAAAAGAAAAAGAAAAAGAAAAAGAAAAAGAAAACGAAAAAGAAAAAGAAAAAGAAAAAGAAAAGAAATTAAAGAAAAAGATGGATAGTATACAGGGGAGTAGTGACGAAGATACAGAAAAAAACAAATTGAGAGAAGAAAATAGGATAGCAAGAACTACAGCTGTTCCCCATATGAGAAGAAAACAGACTGT